GGGGGGGGTTGCCCCTTCCCAGGGCTACACGGCAGTGCCTCCCCCAGCACATGGAGGGCTGCGTCCTGGGGACATGCCCCACCCCACCCCGCTGCGGCCCCCGGCACTCACGGGCCACGACTCTCCTGCGCAGGAAGGGCTGCACGTACTGGGGGATGACGCAGAAGACCAGGAGCGCTGTGGGGAAAGTGGGAGGCTGCATGGGGGGAGCTGTGCCCAGGTGAGCTGGGGGGCTCCGTAGCCAGCCCAACCCAGCAGGCCCCGACGGGCCCCACACTCCGCGGTCTAGGGTCACCGGGTCCTGCCTCGGTGCCCGGGGCTGCACCCTCACGGTCCCTTCTAGACCCACGTTGCTGGGATTCTATGATTGAGCATGGCCCTGCCCCCTGGAGGTGTTGGCCCCGCCCCCTGGAGGGTACTCACTGTTGGCTCCGCCCCCTGGAGACACTCATACACTTTTGTCCCCACCACAGTGTACTTACACACCATTGGCCCCGCCCAGAGAAGTCACCATTGGCCCCGCCCAAGGAACTCACCATTAGCCCTGCCCCCAGGGAACTCACCATTAGCCCTGCCCCCAGGGAACTCACCCTTGGCCCCGCCCCCAGGGAACTCACCCTTGGCCCCGCCCCCAGGGAACTCACCATTGGCCAGGCCGCAGAGCGGCTTGAAGAGGAGGAGGATGTAGCAGAGGAAGAAGAGGGCGGGGATGACGCGCTCACACTCATCCTTGGCCGTGTCGAAGAGCCGCAGGCACTTGGTGTAGGGGGCGCCCAGGTCCTGGTTGCACACCTCGCCCACGTGCACCAGCCAGTACCACACGTTCCGCAGGGCCCGGGCTGTGGGGACGGCATGGCAGGGCACCCTGGGGCAGCAGGGCAGGGGCCCGAGGGTGGGCGAGGTGGCGTAGGGACAATGGCTGTGAGTAAGGGGTCGCAAGACAGGGTACGAAGGCGGAATCCTGGGGCACAGGGGAGGGGGCATGACGACAGGGCTGTGGGGGGGATTGGGGCATGAGGGCAGCGCCGTGGAGCACCATGTGGAGCACAGGAGATGGGCTTTGCTCCAAGCCACAGCTGGTGCCTACGTCCCCCCGCCCTAGGGAGCACACAGAACGGAAGCAGGGTGGGGCTGGCTGAAGGGTTGGCTGGAGGGGTGCGGGGACAGGTCAGGGGACTGGGGTTGGGGGCTGGCTGGGGGTAGTGAATGGGGTCCCAGATTGGAGGCTGGCATGGAGGAACAAGTTGAGGGTCACAGTTTGGGGGCTCGCTAGGGTGAGGGGTCAGATAGGCCGGAGGCTGGCAGAGGGGGTGGATCGGGGTTTTCGGTGGTGTGACGAAGTGGGACTGTTCTTAATGTTTCCTCTGAATACTGTGTGGGTGCCTCAGTTTCCCCTATGCATTTCTTAAGTCTCCAGTGTGCATAAATGGCTGACACTCTGTCTCCTAGCAACAAATGGCCAGGGCCCTTCCCCGCTTTGTTTTACTGCTCCCCAGTCACTTACTGCAAGAAGCGCCATTCACGGGGTGCAGTACATCCCACCTCTGCCACCAGTTGTCACGGAATCCCCGGGAACAGGGTCTAAAACAGAGCTTGTAGATCCCTCCGCCGGGTCCATTCTGGGGTCCAGCGAGCCAGACACCCCTGTCTGCCCTCAGTCCCCGTCGCCAGGCACCTCCAAACTGAAACCCCCTCCAGCCCCTCCTTCTCTGGGCTTTGTCTCTTTCCCGGGCCAGGAAGTCACCTGATCTCTTTGTTCACCTTTAGCTATTTCCTTGCAAGGGGGAAGGGCCCTGGCCATTTGTTGCCAGGATACAGAGTGTCGGCCATTTATGCGCACTGGAGACTTAAGAAATGCAGGGGGAAACTGAGGCACCCACACAGTATTCAGAAGAAACATTAAGAACAGTCCCACTTCATCACAGGTGGCTGAGGGGGTGGGGTCAGACGGGGCAGGGTGGGACAGGTGGGGGGTTATGGCTGGGGGAAGGAGGCAGGCCGCAGGCTGAGTTGACCTGGGTGGGGCTGGCTGGGGGCAGGTGGAGCAGGTGGGGGGCTGGCCAGGGGGCGGGTGGAGCAGGCCGCAGGCTGAGCTGACCCAGGCTGTGGGGGGCCAGCAGGAGGCGGTCGCTGTCGGTGCCGTGTCCCGGCTGCCCCCCCCCCTCCACTCACCAACGTGCCGCACGGAGTCCATGACGGAGCGGAAGAACTTGCGGACGCGGTCGCCCACCACCTTGGCCTTCTGGGCGATGGCCTTGATCCTGGTCAGTGCGCCTGGGGGCGGGACACGGTGAGCACCCAGGAAACAGCCCCCCACAAGGGCTCCCCCCGCTGCTCCCCACATGGGGCGCCCCCCAGCACCCTCCACGGGATACCCCAATACCCTGAAACACCTAGCCCTCCCCCCAGCTTCCACAATGGATCCCTCCCTGCCCCCCCTGCCCCCCTCTCACTGAGCAGCGGCTCCCTGGCTTTCTGCAGCAGCTCGGCCGTCTGGTTGAGGGTGAGCTCGGCTCCGCAGGACACGGACTGGGCCGCCCGGGCGAAGTTCCGCAGGATGTTGGTGCAGGGCCCCTGCATGGCCATGCCCAGCGCCACCAGCAGCAGCATGTGCTTCCCCTGCTCTGCAGGGGGCGGCAGTCACCCCACGGCGTCAGTAGGGCAGGCAGGGCAGGGTCTGGGGGGGATGCAGGGTGCCACGGGGGGCAGACTGGGAGCTGGGCGCTGGGGGAGGGTGTGGGGCGAGTGGCACCAGGACAGCTGTCCCCACTTCTCCCCACTCCCTGTGGCCGCTCGCGGTGTGCCAGGCAGGGGCACGGCTGGTATATTGGGCTGGGGCCAGGGGACCCCAGGGGGCGTGAGGGTGACGCCGGGGGATCCCGGCACTGGGTTTCGGCCCTGTGGGATCGGGGGGGGGGGGGGGGGGGGGGGGGGGCACTTACTGGAGAAGACGTGGGGCAGCATGAGCAGGACAGTGACGCGCACCTTGCTGGAGAAGGCCATGCCCAGCCCCAGGCCAGCGCCCAGGCTGGCGGTGGACACCAGGCAGTACCAGACGTTGTAACTCTCCGCGAAGAGCACCAGGGCACCGTAGAGGCTGGCCAGGGTCATGCCCAGGGCGAAGCCGCCCGCGCTGCGCACCACGCCCCGCACGGGGCTCTCCCCCGCCAGCCTTGGCCCCCCACTGCCCTTCCTGCTCCTGGGCCGCGGGCCCTGCTTTGACGTGCCCAGGGCCCTGCGGAGAGCTGAGACAAGCCCCATGGAGCTGGCGCTGGTGGGGGGGGACCCCCCAATCCTCCACTTCGCCCCACGGAATGGGGCCCGGGGCTGCGGAGAGACGAGGCATCGCTGGGACCCAGACACCTCCAGACCCGGCCCCTCTCCCCACCCCTCCTCAGCCTCCTCCCCGCCCCACCCCCAGCCTGCTTGGCTCTCTCCTGCTCCAGGTGCCCGCTACGTGCCCGGCTCTCAGCACGCCTGGGTGGGCATGGGTCTGGCTCCTGCCTGCTCAGCCTGTGGGGGGCGTTGAGCTCGGCTGGTCCGGGGGGGCTGTGTGATGCACAGATCAGCTGGGCCCCGCTGCGGACGAGGCTGGGGCCGGCCCATGCGGCTCTGGGGTGGTAGAACCCAGCTGGCCCTGGCCCCCATCAGCTAGTGGGGGACCTTGTTTCTCCTTCTTACCAGCCCAGTCTGTGGGGCTCTGCGTTCGAGTCTGGCCTGGGGCAGGTGGCACACGCCAAGGGGCCGCGGCAGCGGGGTGTGTGGGGATGGGGGCAGCTGTGCAGTGGTGCGGGGACCCGGCGTCCCACTCCTGGAGAGTCACAGGCACCGGGGCCCGGTCAGGTCTCACTCGGGCAGGATTCCATGGCGGGCGTCGCTGCCCGTTGCCGGGATACGGGGCACTGGCGGGCGCAG